AATTCTGTATTTATGTTATTTCACTACCTGTAAAGACAAAATACCTACCAAATGTTAACTCACCTGTACCTGTTACAAAATCACATCACCTCATTGTTACCTGGCATCAGCTTGTGTTTTCATTTTCTATAAAATAAAAGGAGTATCTGTGGTACTTCAAATAAGACTTTCTATTACTTTTTTGCAAACCAACAGGTGGTGCCAAGGCCCAGCGAAGGGCAGCTGCAAAAAAATTATCATTATAATCTCCACAATAATACTGGTTGTCACTTTGGCCCATATCATTTCCTGTTATAGACTGACCCCGGCCCCCCATCACAGAAAGGAAAGTTGATGTGGCCCCGCCGAAAAAAAGTTTGGGGACCCCTGATTTAGAACATCTCTCTTCTCAAAGACTGTATTGACCACTCTGGATGTGTATTGCCACCGTGTTGGTGCCACTCGAGGGAGATGCCGCTGGCAGATTTCGTCCAGTATTTGCGTGCACCGAGGCGATCTAGAAAGAAATGCAGCAAGGCCATTGAGGTGGGCGAAAAACTTCTTGCATTCTTTAAGCTTTGAGGGCCCCTGAGTCAGTACTAAATTGAGCCGATGTGCATAGCAGTGTATGAATAAAGCCAAGGGTGATCTCTCCTTAATTTTAGCCTGCACCCCATTTAATCCAGAAGACAATGACCGCTGCACCACCATAACACTGTGCCACGACTTTACCCACACATTCATTTTCCACCAAAAATCAGATGATAAGACCTGCAATGTCATCGGCTCGCTTCCCACTGGTAACATCTTCAAATCTGACCAACCGCTCCACACCTGTGCCCGTTACGTAACGCAGGGACCAGTGCGAGCTGCGCTGCGTTACTCGCGGCTGTCGTCTCATCCACCATAACAGAGACAAACGGTGCTTCATTAACTTCCCTTCTGATCTCTTCTCCCATCACTTCAGCAATAGCAGTGATCAGGTCCTTTTGTATTTTGCCCGACGTCCCACTAAACACTTTATTAGTGGACAGGTGGTAATGTAGATCCGTGTTGCTCTCAGCAATGAGAGAAAGAAGCTCCACATAGTTTCCTCTGTTTGTGGATCCAGTGCTTTCATCGTGTCCTCGAAATTAAAGTTCCTGCTTGCCCAAAAAATAACACGGTTTATCAGTCTTTGTAGGATTTCCCTATTTTTCTTCACCTTTTCGTTGTGGAGCTCCGTTTCCCTGCGCACTTGCTTGCTCAGCTGTTGATCCACTCTGGTTTCCCCAAAAGTTTTCGAAAGCACCGTTGCTTATAAGTGTCCGGGGTACCGCTCGTAGTTAGTGGACTGAAAGTGGCGGACAAATCCTTTTCCCGGTTGTGACAGGCTTGCTAGCTTCGGAGTTGCCCGACCTTTCTCAACGATGTCCAGCTTTTCTTGAAAAGTCCATCTTGAAAATGGCTTTGACAATATATCTGCAACCAAATCCATTTCTTCTCCGTTTATACTTGCTCGTTTAGTTCACTACAAAATGCAGTTTGCTAGCTCTGGCTAGTACGCTCTCTGACTATCCAATCAAAGGGTGTGAACACGCTGACGTCACCGTACGCCTGCTAGAGGGCCTCGGTGTCGCCAACTCAAAATCTACAACAATTTGATCAACACTTATTTTATGCTACAGGGCCCGCAGACCTGATTGTGAAGGCCTCCAGGCAGATTGCTTTGACCCTGGCAACAAATGATGGCTGAAATGTGATTGGTTAAATGCTTTAATGTGAAAATACACGTCTGGAAGCAGCTCAACCAGAGGAAAAGCTATGAAAGGAAGCAGACAGACCATTTGGAATTATTTAATAATAATTATAAAAAAATATATAATTATTATATAAGTATTCATGGACAAAATATAATTATTTATATATTTTTAGAATGTATTATCAGTCTGTGATCAGATATTTCTTAGGCCAGCAGAGAAGGCCTTGCAGGCCCTGACAGCCTAACACTGAGCTCAATATGATAGTTAACCTGCAATTTTGAATGTCACATCAGCATTTGCTGTTACATTCAATTATGATTAGTTATTGTTTACATAAATAATATCCCTAAACTATCCCTATATCCCAAAACCTCATTGTTATCAGAGTTTCTATGGTATGATACAGCAAGCATTTTCTGTTCTGTGTTTTATCTTTAGTTCACTACACAGAATCCACACTGTATCATCACATAGCATTGAAGTTTAACAGTGTGTGAGTCCCTCTAGTGGATGTTGTGGAGTATTCTGTTGTCTTTGCTCCAAAGGTTTTTGTACAGAGTTTTGGTGTTTCCTGTCACTGTGGGCTGCAGAGCACAGTAGTACACAGCAGAGTCAGACAGCTGAAGCTTCTGGATCTTCAGAGGAACTGATGTCTTGTTGATTGTAGCATCAATTCTGTCTTCCTCTGTTGGATCATCCCTTTTTCCAGAGTAACGTTGCAGTATAAACTTGGGGACATTATTTAGTTCTTGTTTGTACCAGAACAAATAGGAATATGTTGCAGTGGACCCAAATGTACATCCAAGTGTAACTGTCTCTCCTTCAGTAGCAATGACATCTCCTGGTGGCTGGGTCACTCTGTCTTCTCCTTTACACTCTGGGGAAGAAGAGAACATGCAGAGGAAGAGATGAATCAATAAAGATGATTGATTAAAGGAGAACAATCAGTAGGTTTAAAGAGTTACCTAGCCAGAGAGTCAGAATCAGGATGTTTCTCAGCCAGTGTTTCATGTCTGCAGTGAGAGGGGAGGAGAGAGAGGAAGAACATTGATACTCTGATGGATCTGGGCCTTCACATCATTGGTCCTTCCTCTTTATCATCTGTTGAGGAACTCTCAACATTTACATCTCATTTATATTCAGCAGTGAAATATCTCAGAAACTGCTGAATGGATTGTCATGAGCTTTTATCCAGATATTCATGGTTGTCATTATATTTGGTTCATTCATGTTCCCCTCAGGATGAATTGTAAGAACTTTGGTGATCCTCTGACCTTTAATCAGTGTTTAATTAGTCCCATACTTTGGTTTATGACCAAATACCAACAAGATTAATGACATAGCTGAAGTTGATATGAGGATGCAGCAGTTCTAGTCAGTAAGATCCAGTGGGTGTCTTTCACTCTTAAAGTATTTTAGATATAAAATTCCTTGGAATATGTTTCTGTACACAACGAGGACTATGGATTTGGTCCATATCAGTGTAATATCCAGACTATATGCCATTAGCAACATTGTATTTAAGCCAGTTTTCAGATTTTTAGGGGGAAAAATGAGCATCACCATGTGACCTGTAGACAAGATGGCTATGTACTACTTTGAAACTAACACATTCATACACATTCACACACTGATGCACAGCATCAGGAGCAATTTGGGGTTCAGTATTTTGCTCAAGGATACTCCAACATGTTGTGCAAGGAGCCGTGGATCGAACCAACAACCTTCCTATTAGTGGACGACTCTGCCTCTGAGACACAGCCGCCCTATAAGAACTTTCTACTCAAGTTGGAAAAAAAGGAAAAAGCGTTCCAGCACAGGTATCACAGAGTCTTTGGAGGAAACCTTGGCACTCCAAGAGGATTGAAATAGAAGAGACAACATCTGCATCATTAACCGACCAGAATCAAAAATGTAAAGGCACACAGAATTGGGCCTGAATGCACCACCGGAGATTAACATATTAAATGGTATAATTTTTAATTATTCCTCTTTTATTACCAGGCTCCTTAAAACTGAACTGGACTGCATAGAGGGCATAGACTAAATCATTTACCTAGATTTTTTCCCATCTGATTAACGCTGCCTAGGAAGGTATAGGTGCCTATAATGGGACTTTATTTCTCTTTTTAAGATTTAAGCAAGAGAGCCTTATATTATTTAAACCCTTCTTCAAAAAGAAGAACACATGTGTCCAAACAATCATAAAATCATAAATCTCTTAAATGGGAGAGGAGCAGTGGCAAAGGTTTAAGCCCCCTTTCTCATAGTCAGGTGTCTATATTAGCAAGGGGGGGTTTACTTTACTGTGTTTTTTTTTTCCTTTTGGGGCTTGGCAACCGGCGGTTGGGGAATAAGATCTCTATATTTCTTAAATGAAAATGTTTTCATCTTGCCAACATAACAAACAGTTCCTGCAATAACTACAGTACAGACGTCTGACCTGCATCTACAGCACTGGCCCATGGTTGAATCAAGTGTGGATGAAAATTCCTTAAACGTGTCCTCAGTTTTCCCTGTGTCAATCTTGAAGCGGCTCAGTATGAATTTGGGGCTGTTTCCATCCTGTTTGTACCAGAAGAGATAATCATTTGATGAACTGCTGTTATATTGACAGTCAAGTGTTACTTCCTCTCCTTCAGTCGCAGTCACATCTCCTTTTGGTTGCAGCACGTTGTCTCTTTGTGCTCTGCATTCTGTAAAACAGCAACAAACAGGATCAGTGTGCTGTTAAAGAATCATGTCAATGTTGGATTGATATCACAGAAACAGAGTTGTGTTCATACCAAGGCACAGAGCAGCCAGCAACACTGAGATGAACAGAGGCTGCGTCATATCTGCAGTGTTGAGTAACTGTGAGCTACAGCAAGTAGAAAGAAGGCTGTGATCTCTCTGTTTAGTCTTCATCAACACTAAGTTGGTGGATTAGAAGGAGGAGCCTGATCACACTGACAGGCCTCATTCACAGCCCTGTCTTATATGATTACAAATCAACAAACAGTCCATCATTTACTGCAGTTCAATCAGATGGAAAACAAAACTGAATAAAAATGTTAAAGACCAGAAACTGTAAAGGTGGACTTCTGCCCAGAAAAATGCAGACTGTACCCAGTCCAGCTGGTAACAGATCAGTATGCTCAGTATATGACTGAATATTTGAGCTATAAAATACCGGACCCAGTCTGACCTGGTAAATGTTGGGAAACAAATAGAAATGTTATAGGAATAAAACAATGTATGATAAATGCACTTTAGATACATAATGAAGTCACAAATCTATTTATTTAGCTAAAAGTTTTAATGTTAGACACGTTGTTGTTCAGATGTCACATATTACTCATTTTAATTTTCAGTGTTGATTTATTTGTTTCCATGGTGTCTTGTGTTTGAAGCATCATCCAGTTGGTTTGTCATTGATGTGGATTTGCTGCTCATGTGAATCCTCCCACAGTGTTTCATTAGCAGCTGTAACCACAGTGACTCTGATAAAACAGGAATTAGCAGAATCCATCTGATATGAAGCTGTGGTTTGAATACCACTTCCCTCCTCTTTGAAGAGTAGTCAGATATCTGTGTTCAGGTTTTTGTACAGCCTCTTCTACACTTTGTATCACTGTGTTTCTAGAGCACAGTAGTAGAGAGCTGTGTCTGCCAGGGTTAGTTTTCTGATGGTCAGTTCAGTTGATGAACCTGTTGTTTCAGATTCATATCGTTTATCTGGAATATATTCAGCTGAAGATCCTTTTGCTCCTTTCCAGAGTATAAACTGAGGAGCCTGAAGGTCAGAATGTCTGTACCAGTGAAGGTCTATATAGCTGCCAGTTGTCTCATATTGACATTTGAGTGTGACAGATTCTCCTTCTCTTCCACTGACTTTATCTCCTACAGGAGAGATTGTGTCTCCAGCTATTAGTCCTGGAAAAAGTGGAGAAAATGAAGCCATTAGACTAACATTGTTCATGAGGCTGAGAGGAGAAGACAGTGGAAAATATCAAGTGTACAGTGTTACTCTGTGGACAGAAACAGCTCAACTGTTGAGAGATTTCTGCTCTGAACTCCAGTTTCCATCAATCTTTAGAAAAGAATAAAAACATGTTGTGCTTTCTATCTTACCAAAGAAAAGAGCAGCAAGAATAATCCACAGCCAATGTTCCATCTCTACAACAAGGTTTAAATCAACAGGAGAAACTAGCTGATGTTCAACATTCAGTGTGACAATTGTTCTCTTCACAGCAGCAGTTATTATTGACAGAATGGTTGAACACAGTGCAGAAGTAGTGCACCGCCTACTTGATAATGTCGCCCTCTAGTGGAGCTAAAAAGTTGAGTCCAACAGTGTGGAAAAAAGGCTTCCAGCAGCTTGTCAGTGTGTCAGCTTGTGTTTTTGTACAGAGACTGTGGGTTTGCTGTCACTGTGGGCCTCACAGCACAGTAGTACAGAGCAGAGTCTGTCACTGCAGCAGAGGAGATCTGCAGATCCATTTGGGTTTTATCCTCACTCACTGTAACTGACAGTCTAGAGACTGGGTTAGACATTAACTTTCCTGTTCCTGAGTGAGAGATGAGGAACTGTGGTGGTTTTCCTGGATATTGTCGATACCAGAAGAAATAATCAGTTACATCAGCTTGTTTAGAGTATGTGTAGGACAGAGTAACAGTGCTGTCTTCTAAACTGAGCTCTTGTTTCTTGACTGCAGTGAGTTCTTCACAGCTGACACCTAAAGGAAGAGATAACTCTGTAACTTTATGATCTAAAGGTTTTTATCAATGAAGCTCTTTTAATGTTAATGATCTCACCTACCTCTTATTGTGAGCAGAAACAAAGTCACAAACAGACTGAAGTTCACTGACAGCATCTTAAAGATAAAGACAATCTGTCTGTTTTTTGGATGAAACACCACTGTGAAAGTTTCTGTCTTTTCTGTACTTGAGTCTCAGTTTTGCTCCTCCCTTAATCCCTCCCTCCTTCCTCTCACAACTCTGACAAATAGTGTGTTTGTCACTGCTGTGCTGCTGTTATTCACTAAATGACATAATTTCCATCAGGTAACAAGTAGCTGATAAGGTCACACTGATTGACACAAAAACTGTGTCTCTGTAAGATGATCAGTGCGAAATTAAATTTCCCTTATTTTGTAATTTATCTTTACTGCTCCACTACTTCACACAGGAGTTGATAGTTGCTGATAATAATATATATATTTTTTTTTATTTACAAGTGTTTCTCTGAGTACTCAAAGAAACTTTATATAAAAACATAAAAGCAGCAAAACAACATCAAATAGTAAAACACTAAAAACACATCAGACTAAGCTAAACATTAAAAGCAATTTTAAAAAGGTGAGTTTTTGTCAGAGATTTGAATTTTGGGAGGTCGGTACAGTCACGGATGTGTTTGGGGAGCGAGTTCCAGAGGGAGGGGGCAGCTTCAGAGAAGGCTCTGTCACCCCAGGTTCGGTGCTTGGTCCTGGGTGGTGGAGTCAGGAGGTTTGCATTGGATGAGCGGAGGCTACAGGATGGATTGTGGCGATGGAGCAGGTCAGTGAGGTAGGAAGGGGCCTGGTTATGGAGGGCTTTGTGTGTAAGGAGGAGGATTTTGAACTGAATACATTGTTGGACCGGGAGCCAGTGGAGGTTCTGAAGTACAGGTGTGATGTGGTCACGGGTGCGGGTGTGGATGTGGGTGAGCAGACGAGCAGCAGAGTTCTGGATGTACTGGAGTTTATTTAAGGTTTTGGATGGTGTGCCGTAGAGGATGCTGTTGCAATAATAGATTCTGGAGGTGATGAAGGCGTGGATGAGGGTTTCTAAATGTAGAACATTAGAGGACCAAGGGTTGAACCCTGGGGTACACCCCAAGAAACCACAGCCTGAGAGAACAACAGAGAAACTTTTTTTATAAACAACAAACAAAATCAACACCTGAGTTCTTGGTACCAACCAGTTTGATACTTGATTAAAAATGTGTGATTTGTCAATATGTTGACGATCAGATTTTTCTATATGTTCAATTTTATACTCAAACGTTCTTTACATTATTATTTTGTTTCACATTGAGGCAGTTATGGGTATGTAAGTGATTGATTGATGAACAAAGCTGACTTTGAGCTCCATTACATGTCAGTGGATTTATTGTTACCACCGTCCTTCATTCATGTGCTTTTTATTTTCTAACCAACTCTGTATCATACTATTGAAGTTCAACAGTGTGTGACTCCCTCTAGTGGATGTTGTGGAGTATTCTGTTGTCTTTGCTCCAAAGGTTTTTGTACAGAGTTTGGGTGTTTCCTGTCACTGTGGGCTGCAGAGCACAGTAGTACACAGCAGAGTCTGACACTTTAGCTGAGATGATCTCCAGATGTACACGTTTCTCGGTTTTGTTAATGTGAGCTTTGAAATCAGAATCCATTGGATGAATCAATCCTCCCTCTGTGATGTAGAGCAGGAACTCTGGTCTGGATCTCTGGTATTGTCGGTACCATTGGATATTGCTGATAACACCATCATATTTACAGGCCAGGTTGATGTTTCCTCCCTCTGCAACATGTTCTTCAGTACTGTCTGGCTTTATGATGTTCATGGAACCCAGGGCTGCAAAATGAGTATTATTCATGTCAGTTAGTCTGCAAGACATTCTGACAGACTCAACAGAATTTTTTTTTTTTTCATCTTTGATCAATTTTAGATACATTTAACAAAGCAAATGTGTTGTTCTACCATGGAAATTGTTACCTTACATAGATAAAGCTCTAGTACCAAATATCTGGTTAATACTCACCTATAAAGTGAGAGAAAAGTAAAAAGAGGTAAAGCAACATGTCTTTGGAGTTGTTAAAGTCAAACTGACAGCAGATGAGCAATGTTCTTCCACTGCAGTAGAATGAAAAAACTAAAGAGCCTCTCTGCTGCACAGCCCTTCTCCTCAACATCAAGCTGATTGTGCTTTTAGTTCCTCAAACATTTCTGCTCTGGAGACAGAAACAATCTCATTGGTTGAGTTCAATGTCAGTGGGAGGGGCCAGAGAAAATCCTTTTTACAGATTCTCTGCCTACCAAAGTTTAATGTAACCAATGACATTGTTTCTGCCTCAGAGAAATGTTTGCTGAATGTCCAGTTTCAGTTCTTCACACCATTGTGAGACCAAGGCAGGTCACAGTAGAAAGAAGCTGGATCACCTGAAGATTTAGTCTTTATTCTGGGAACATGGAGGACATTTTATAGTTCCATAATAATAATTACAGCAAACATTAATATTGGATATATTGAATCAGCCCTAGCTAGAAGCCATCATGTCTTTATCCTTTACCTTGTCTTTGTTTGTTCAGATGCACTCTAAAAAAAATCCTAATTTTACACTAAATTTTTACAGTAGTTTTTCCATTTTTTTTAAGTGTAAAACAACCCCAGTAAAATTACGGACATTATCTGTAAATTAACAACCCGCCTGTTATTTTATGTGTTATGCCAATAATGACAAACTACAGTTATTTCCCATTTTTTTACAGAAAATTAATATAATAATTACGATATTTGACCGTTATTAAATGTTTTGCTCGTTATATAAAGGTTTATTTCCATACTGACAACTAAGATTTTTTTCTGCAATTTTAAGGTTAATCTCATTAGTTGTGGTTTTACATTCAAGAGAGAAAGAGGCAGAGACAGAGAGACAGACAGAAAGAGATGGAGAGACAGAGAGAGACATCAAAGCTCTGTGCACAGTTTTACAATGAATTAAGATTTTACCCACTGTAATTTGTAAATAAAAAAAATTAAAAATCCAACATGAAGAAAGCAGTGCAGCAGAAACTTTTGATATATGTGATTTAGTGTGGACTTAACTGATGCTGCTATTATTATTATTATTATTATGAATAATACAAAGGTATTTCCCAATATTGGGGTCACTAAAATATTTAATTTATGATTTTGATTCTGAAGTCATCTTTCTGTGAGTTATCCCGCTGAAACAATTGCTATTGGCTGTCTCACCATGTTGCTTTGAGTCTGATTGGTCAATGTGGCTGTCATCCAGGAAACTGGCCAATGAGCACTGAGCGCGCCTTCATTTGAAAGTACGTCAGTTTGAATGCTGCAGGACTTCAGAGCTACTCTGTAGGTCCACTATAATGAATTATGTGGATCATTATCTGGATTATTTTACATCTGCACGCCAAATTATTATTTGAGTGAATTTGAGTTGTGGGATTTCAACCGAGAACAAAACAACAAAAACGTGAATATGGACACCGTGGAAGAGTCACGATCTGTTTGCTCTCCTAACATGAACTTCACCTTATAACTGTTATACTTATAAAACATTGCCCTGTTATTTTTCTAAGTTAATAACCTGAGGTAATGTTTGTGTTCAAATCCATAATTTAGACTGTAAGTTGTCAGACTGTTAGGTTAGCTAACTGCTAACTAACTGATGTAACAGGTAACTTAATATTAGCTAACGTTAGCTGGTTAAGCTCCTCATGATTCATGTTAGTAAAACACAACGTTAATATCAGAGAATGTCTAATAAGGAGAGAAGTTCCACTCTCGGTCTACTTCCGGCTCCTGAACTGTTGCAGTTCCCCTCTGGCTCCATGTGAGGGCGCTCACAGGATGAGTGCAGAATGAATGGAGCTCTATGGAGCTATACCCTCAAAATCCACTTTTCTCAGGATATCATTGTTTGTCTAGTAATTTGAATGTTGCATTCGAAAGGGGACGCAAAGAAATGACACATTGCTGGGTGTTAGATTTGTTAGAGTCACTTATTTGCTTTAAAAAGTCTTTTAAAATGTCAGTGACGTCATACACATCGTACGGCCAGAGATACTGCTTTACAGCAAGCCTCGAGTCTCTTTGTGCTTCCTTTTCTCTCGAGGCATCAACGACACAGACATAACGATAGGCAGATAAAAGTACCAGCAATGCTAGCGCGTTATGGGCAACAACAACTCGTCCTGTAAGAAATGGAAAGGACATCAGAACTCGTTCATTCAACTTTCGACCTATAACCCATGTTGAACTTTAAAAACTACAATCAAATCTGAGATTTCTCAACCACAATCAGGTGAAAGAGACAAATTTAGCCGTCTAGCTCCATCTGCTCCCATTCATTCTGCACTGATGGGCGATCGCCCCCAGTGGACCTCTGGTGGAACTGCAACCAGTATTCAGTACAATGGGACTTAATAGAGAGTGGCCAGGCTCTCTGTAGACGGGCTCTGATAATATTGAGTGTGGTTTCAGTCGGGATGGGTTGTTCTGTTTACAGGCAGCAAATCTTTTACTAACGTTACAGACACTTCAATTCAATTCAATTCAATTTTATTTGTATAGCGCCAATTCATAACAGAAGTTATCTCAGGACACTTTTCAAATAGAGCAGGTCTAGACCGAACTCTTTATAACATTATTTACAGAGACCCAACAGTACCACCATGAGCAAGACCTTGGCGACAAGGGCAAGGAAAAACTGCCTGTTAAAAGGTAGAAACCTAGGACAGACCCTTCGGCTCTAGGTGGGTGGTCGTCTGTCTCGACCAGTTGGGGTGAGAGAGAGAGAGAGAGAGAGAGAGAGAGAGGGAGAGAGAGAGAGAGAGAGAGAGAGAGAGAGAGAGAGAGAGAGAGAGAGAGAGAGAGTTTAGTTTTGGTTTTAGTCAAGTTTAATTTTTTCCTCATATTTTGGACCCCGTGTCCTACTTAAACAACAAATAGTGTATATACTTTAATTTATAGTTTTTATATTTTCTAATATTAATAATATTTGCCCTATTGCTGCTGTGTCAAAACTAAATTCTCCTTAGGAGGATAAATAAAGGAATTATTTTATCTAATCTTATCTTATTAGGCCTATTTTCATTATTTTTATTATAACTGTTGAGTTTATTTTTTTTGTTGTTGAGCCAAAACAATTATTAATCAGAATTT